TAGTCTTCGGGCTGGTGTCGTCACCAGTCCTATGGATACGAACCTACAGTACAGTCTATAGACTCATGAGAGCAATCTTGCAAATTTTCTGTACCCTTTATGTAGACGATGGAGTATTCGAGTCGGCTGCATACCGAGTCTGCGACGACCTTGTCGGCCTACTCCTGATATCAACTGCGGTTGGTGTAAGAACGGAGCTATCTAAAATTCGAATCTCATCGAATCCGAGAACGCTAGGTTTTCAATGGTTATCCACGGTGTGTCAGGGTCGCCTCCATCTCGAGGTCGAGATCCCACCAGAGAAGGTGGTCATGATATGCCAGCAGGGCGATCATATCCTCGAGCAGTACAACACTAAGCACAAGGTCGCCATCAAGGACGTGGAGTCCTTCCTTGGTAGGATAATGTGGGCTAGTCAAACTTTCACCCGTTTCCGCTGTCATCTCGCAGCCCTCTACTCTTGGTGCCACAAGCTGAAGTCAGTGGCGGGGGCAAATGGGAAACCCCTGCACTCGGCATATCTCGGGAGAAAAGCCGCGGAGAAGATCAATCTCCTCCTAGAGGTGGTGCGCTCTCCTGCACTCCGAGCAACCTCTATTCAGGATATCTTGGGCGTACGGCTCTCTGGTACTCAACATATGATAGTAATCACCGACGCCAGTCTCGCTGGGTTCGCTGGTACGATGCTCATCGGGAGTCAGAGATATTGGTTCTGTGAGTCAACAGCTACTACCGAGTTGAAGGCCTTAGTCCCAGGCGAACTGGAGTCAGGACACATCAGCACACTCGAGTTACTGGCTGCGATCGTCGCTGTGCTGGCTTCAGTGCGCAGCTGCGGTATCGACAGAACCGAGGCGGACTTCACCGTCCTAAGCGACAACATCTCCACAGTTGAAGCCTTGAATAAGGGTACTAGTGGTTCACAGCGCATGGCGGATCTCTTGGCAAGATTTTCGGCGATGGGCATGAACCATCGTTCAATTCGCGCCTTTCATCTACCCGGAAATGAGAACGTCATAAGTGATAGCCTCTCGCGCGATGGCGTTCCCCGCCCTGCAATAGCTCGTGTCATCGGTGAGCGCGTCGATATACTACCTGTGTTGCAGGAGATATTACGCACCGATCCGTTGAAGGCCCCAATCTGCTTGATGTAGGTCTGAGGATCAAAACAGAGGCCGCGGAACAATATGGCCTTTGGTGGTAGGGCTAGCAAAGCCGGCAAAGCTGGTGTTGTACTTGGAGTTAACTGCCCTCTCTTATAATGATCGATTGCTGTTGAGTTGGTTGGGGTTGTGTCTGGTCAGGGGGCGTTATAGACAGTTCTCTTTCGGTGACCATGAATATAGACATTGCCCTACGGATCTGCAACATCCTACATGGCGCGGGAACGAGAGCTAACAACGACGCAGGGAGGCCCAGGGTGAGAAGCTCAGCCTCGCGTTCGAGGGCGCTGTCGTCAGGAGCAAGATACCCCATGTAGTGCATGGCTTGTACTGAGGAGTTCCGCCTGGAATCAGAGTTATTTCAAGCGTCGGTCTATCATCTCCGTTGGCAGGTCCGTCCGGCGCTCTGGTTCCGAAAACAAGCAAATTCCGACGATTAACCACGACACGGTGGGCACAGTACTGGCTGCCGCTCGCGCTGCTTCCACGAACAGGAAATACAAATCAGTGATATCTCGTTATGAGAGTCTCTTAAGCCGTATGGGGATGTCTCCTTGGCCGGTGTGTGGTTCATCCCTTGCTGTATATATATCAGCTCTGACCCAAGAAGGAAGGGTACAGTACACGACAATAAAGGACTACGTCCAGAAGCTGCGCTGTGCCAATACCCTCGAGCACGGTCGGCTCAGCGAGCAAGACTCGGAGCTAGTTCGACTAGCGCTGCTAGGCGCGTCTAAGATTCTCGGAGTCACATCCCCGAAGAGAGCTCGAACGCTCTCCAAAAAAGGAGCTGTTGCAACTTTCTTGTATTGTCCCTGGTAGCGGAAACCTTGGAGTGCCGGTAGCCTATCTACTCGGCGTTGCGGGGCTTTTTCGTCTTCGAGAGCTGAGCGAGCTGAGATGGTCAGACATAAACTGGGAAGTATGCGCAGACAATAAACCATGTCTGGTAGTCCATGTACGGAAATCGAAGACCGACCAGTGCCGTCGCGGTCGACGAGTGTTTATTGGTTGCTGTATGGCCAGCTCCGAGGACTGTGGAATGTCAGTGTGCCCATACCACCGATTATCCAGGTGGGCGCAAGAAACTGGAAATCACATCCAGACCGGTCAGAAGAGCGTGTTCGGCCTGACGTACGCGCAGCTTCGCGAGGGCATATGCGAGCTGATCGCGGCCGTCTGCGGAAAATCCGACGAACGAGGACGGTCAACGACGCATAGTATGAGCCGAACTGGATGCTGGTTGTTACTGAATGGCGGTGCCAGACTCGACGAGGTGGTCGAATATGGACGCTGGGCCGATCCGAGGTGCGTTTTATCGGCGTATTCCCGCGATCACCATGATGCGCAGTTCCGCCACAAGCAAGTTCATGGCCAGCGCTGAGACGACGAGTGATTAGCGGGATACACGTGTCAGAAATGGATTCCTCTCTCTGTTTCATGAGTGCAAATTAGTGTTGTGGTCTTAAGTAACTCGCTAGACGGGCGCCTCCC